GGACAGCTAATCTTTGACAAAGGAGCCAAGCACATACAATGGGGAAAAGAAAGTCTCTTCAACAAATGGTGTTGGGAAAACTGGATAGCCATATGCAAAAAAATGAAAGTAGACCCTTACCTTACACCATATACAAAAATTAACTCCAAATGGATTAAAGACTTGAATGTAAGACCTGAAACTGTGAAACTTCTAGAAGAAAACATAGGCAGTACGCTCTTCGACATCAGTCTTAGCAACATCTTCTCAAACACCACGTCTGACCGGGCAAGAGAAACAATAGAAAAAATAAACAAATAGGACTACATCAAACTAAAAAGCTTCTGCACAGCAAAGGAAACCATCAACAAAACGAAAAGACAACCTAACAATTGGGAGAAGATATTTGCAAACCATACTTCTGATAAGGGCTTAATCTCCAAAATATATAAAGAACTCATGCATCTTACCAACAAAAAAACTACCAACCCAATTAAAAAATGGGCAAAAGACCTGAACAGACATTTCTCCAAAGAAGATATACAGATGGCCAACAGACACATGAAAAGATGTTCAAAATCATTAACTATCAGGGAAATGCAAATCAAAACTACAATGAGATATCACCTGACTCCCGTCAGAATGGCTATAATTAACAAGACAGGAAACAACAAGTGTTGGAGAGGATGTGGAGAGAAGGGAACTCTCATACACTGCTGGTGGGAGTGCAAACTGGTGCAGCCACTATGGAAAACAGTATGGAGATTCCTCAAAAAATCAAGGATAGAACTACCATATGATCCAGCCATCCCACTGCTGGGTATTTACCCAAAGAACTTGAAAACACCAATTTGTAAAGGTACATGCACCCATGTGTTCATTGCAGCGTTATTCACAATAGCCAAGACTTGGAAGCAACCTAAGTGCCCATCAAGGGACGAATGGATAAAGAAGCTGTGGTATATGTACACAATGGAATACTACTCAGCCATAAGAAATGATGAAATCCAGCCATTTGTGACAACATGGATGGACATTGAGGGTATAATGCAAAGTGAAATAAGTCAGAGGGAGAAGGTCAAATACCGTATGATTTCCTTCATTAAGTAGTAGATAATAACAACAATAAACAAACACATAGGGACAAAGATTGGATTGGTGGTTACCAGAGGGGAAGGGAGGAGGGAGGAGGGTGAAAGGGATAATTTGGTACATGTGTGTGGTGATGGGTTGTAATTAGTATTTGGGTAAAAAAAAAAAAAAAAAAAATCTATTTCCTTTGTATAGTTTCTTCTTTTTTTTGGTGGCAGTCTCTACACAAAATTTACAATCTCACTTCTTCATTTACCTTCCTTGAGTAAGCATTTTTTTATTCTTCTGGACATGATGCTCAGTAAGTATTATTTGACTAACTGGTCTCTTCTGTAAGTTATGTACCGTACTGCAGTAGTTTGTATATGCCACTATTATGGTGCTTAATACGTTGTGTTTTTGTTTTCGTTTATGAGTTGATCTGTTAGACTGTGAGCTTGTGAGAGTCATCTTTGGACCATTTCTACTTCCCAGAGCTCCCGATTAGCCTAGCCCAGTGATTTATACATAGTGGATGGATAGTGGATAATTTAATTTATATGTGTCTTACATATGATTTTTAAATTAGAATACAGTTTGAATAACATTGGAAATGTGACAAATGAATGTAAATGATGTGTGTTTAATTTTTCTGTTGTCATTATTAAATCATGCTTTAGGTGATATTGGTATATTCAACTAGAGATCATGCTTCACATGATGTTATCTAGAATTTTTTCCCAAAAGTAATCTTGTTTTTTAAAAAGATTTCAAAATCCTAAATACTCTTACCTGTACTATAAAATTTAGAGTTTTAGTGTAGCAAGTTTAATAAAATAGTTTTTTCCCTTGAGTATTTATAAATTTTAAAAAAGGGTAAACTCCCAGTATATTAATTAATTATCCCATGCTTCAAGGTGTCCATGATCAGAAATGTATGAATTTTTAGAACAGATATATTAGCTAAAGACTTAGCATAATGTTTTATTAAAAATCAGCTCCTTTAATGCGTTTAAAATGTAGTTTAATCTACAAATGCCTAATTTATAGCATTATTTGTAATGTGACATAAATACTTCATTTATAAACCTCTTGGAACATATCTCCTCTATACAGTGATTTATATGTGTTTCGAGTCAGGAATATCTGAGCATCTGCTACAGCAGTAATTGAAGAAGTTAAATGTTAGGTTGTTTACATGTAGAAACTATCAAAAGTCCTTTTGTTTTTAAAATTGTGTAAGAGGAGAGACTTATACCTGTGTTTCAAATACCAGAAATTAACATGAGCTTTCTATGGTATTGGAGAACAAAAGGGCTTAGTTCTAGGTAAGAAGTTGAGGCAAAAAGGCAATAACGTCATTCTGAGTTCAGTTGTCTTTAAGGTAATAAAAATCAGCACAGTTTATTAGCTAAGAAATAGATAAAAAGTAAAGTCCCTGTGTTATAATATCCCACAGTTGTGAAAAACCTGATTAACAAATCTTTTTTTTTTTTTTTTTTTTTGTGAGGAGGATCAGCCCTGAGCTAACATCCATGCCAATCCTCCTCTTTTATTGCTGAGGAAGACTGGCCCTGAGCTAACATCCGTGCCCATCTTCCTCCACTTTATGTGGGACACCGCCACAACATGGCCTGACGAGCAGTGGTCGGTGCGCACCCGGGCCGCCAGCAGCGGAGGGCGCACACTTAACAGCTACGCCACGGGGCCGGCCCCTGATTAACAAATCTTGATTTGGTATAAACAGAGGAGTACATTTCTGCTTCATACAACGTCTTCGGAAGAAAATGTTTATGTCTTTACATTAAATGACTGGCAGATAATACGAAGAGATCTGTCACTTTTGTTAGAAATTGTAGCAGAGTCCCATTTAATCTTACTTGGGACCTTCTGCTTATTTAGCTAAACAGCTTTCTTTATTTTACTGCTGACTAAATTTACCTTTTAAAGAAGAAAGTAAAGCTTATGTGAATGAACATCAGAACAAAGTCATTGTCCGAGTGATTTGCTTCATAGTTTCTTATTAATTAAAGCTGATTCCTTTTTGGAAAGGAGCCATATTTCTAACATCAGATATTTTGTTTCTGCGTGGTGAACTGTGAATGTGAGTATTTGCTTTCTCTGGTTGAGAAATGAGACTTTAAAACTGAGCATGATTCATTATGATAGGTGAATAAACTATGATAATTAAATTCTTAAGACCAGATATATGAAGTATAATTCCAGGAATCTGACAAAAAGGTCAAGTTGAAAGGAGATAATTACAAAGCTCTTGGTTTGTCGCTCATAAGCTTGAGATAAAACCATTACACAGATGTTAGATATAGTTATCTCCAGTGATGACTTACAGGAAGATAATAAGGGCTTAATCATTCAGGTATCTTATTGCTCAGATAGTCCCTTAGAGTTTTAAACTTTTAATTATGAAAAATTTCAAACATACACATGTAGAAGGAATAGAAGAACAGAGCCCATGTAGTGATCAGTCATAGTAGTTAACCCCTGGCCAATCTTCATTCATTTTTCAGACATAATATAAAATTATTTGGTTTATGAAAATTCTAATTTAGGTCAAAGCCCCCACATTACCTATGAGTAAATTGCCTATATTAAATAAGCTGTGATTTATGATTTATGCTTTTTTTTAAATCTGCATTGCTGCATGAGTTGAAAAAAATCCAAACTAAAAAGTAGACTTTATTATAAGACAAAATGGCTTACATTAAAGGATTCTGTGATGAATAAAAGCATTCAGTGTCCTTGGGTGGATGAATTGAAATACTTTCTTTTGTATTAGTCAGATAAAGAGTAGTTTTGATTGTTTTGACTCACAACAAATTTTTCCTTCGTAGTTTATTGGTACCTAAATATAGTTAGCAGTCTTTTTTATTAAAATTTTGTGAATTATAAGTGGTTTTTTGTCACTTTGAATATTTTTTTATTTAAAAGTTGAAAGCTATGAAGGCTCTTGTTATTCAGTCAGTGAACAAATATTTATTAAACCCCTGAGTGATTTATGTAGAAATGTTCCAAAAGAGTTTGCCACATATTTTATAGGATTTTCTAAATCAGATGGAAGGACTTTTCCTCAAAGTACTGTTGCCCAACTCCGCATGTCCATTCTGATTCAGCTTCTAAGTTAGAGGCATAGCCCTTCAGATAAAAAACTTTTCTTTGGTTGTTACTGATGGAAAGCTGTCAAATCCCTCAGATACATGGGAGAGAAAAAGTTGAGAGCCAAGGATTTAAATTATAAACATGTACTTAAATATGGAATAGAAATCTCAGATGCTCAGCAGTGGAAAAAAATGTCCACTTACATTTAAACCATAATTTTAGAAAATCTAGCCTAACCCTGGTAGTCAATAATAGTTTTATACAGCTAGCAATTTCTTTGTATTTTTGTTTTTTCTGAGGAAGATTGGCTCTGAGCTAACATTTGTGCCCGTCCTCCTCCATTTTGTATATGGGACATACCCGCAGCATGGCTTGAGGAGTGGTGTATTGGTCTGTGCCCAGGATCCGAGGCTGCAAACCCCAGGCTGCTGAAGTGGGGCATGCGAACTTTACCACTATGCTGCCAGGCTGGCCCGGCAATTTCTAAGTATACTTTTCAACATGATATTTATAAACTCTTTTACCTAAAGGATACTATAACATTTGAAGAATGTTATGAGCATATTCTAAATCACAAAAATCTCCTAGGAGGGTAGTATACATCCTTTGTACAAGTTCCAAAGGGAAAAATTTTAAACTAAGAATATTTGTTTTAGTTGTGGTAAAATATACATAACATAAAATTTATCATCTTAACTGTTTTTAGATGTATAAACTGAGAATATTATATATACTTTATGTGGTTAGAATTCAATTCAGATAAGTCAGTAGAAAGTTATATATTTATACTCAAGAGTAAAGCCACCACAAAATAGTTTACATTTGTTTTTCAGGTCATTACTTCCTTTTATGTGGAGCGTGGAGGAAATGCTATGTCCTTCATGGGAAAAGGCGTCACAAAGAGCACAGTTCTTTGCTTGCTGCACTTGTCTCATGAGATGATGGCCCAGGCCCAGAGCTCGGTGAGAGTGTTGAAAGCTGCCTGTCTCCTGAACACTTGCTAGAAAAGGAATGTGCTGTGTCTAATGCATTTCAAACCTGTAAATTTGCTATATGAAAATGTCTCTTCTGACTTTTCTTCCTAGGAGACAAAAATGATTTTTGACTAAGATGTTTCTTAGAAGTTGTGTGTTACACAGATCTAAATTTTATTTGAAACTTCTTTTGATTGAAATATGCATTGTGGAATACGTTTTGTATAAATCATGGGGAGAATAGCTGTTCTGAAGAAAAATTATTAACCCCCTTTTTTTTTGGTGAGAAAGATTGGCCCTGAGCTAACATCTGTTGCCAATCTTTCTCTTTTTGCTTGAGGAAGATTATCACTGAGCTAACATCTGTGCCAGTCTTCCTCTGTTTTGTATGTAGGACGCTGCCACAGCACGGCTAGGTCTGCCTTTGGGATCTGAACCTGCGAACCTTGGGCTGCCAAAGCAGAGCATGCAAACTTAACTGCTACACCACTGGGCTGGCCCCTATTTTTAACTTTTTAAGGAGAAGCTGAGATTTTTGTTTGCCTTGTTTTGGCTAAATAATAAATTAAAACCAAGTCTTAAGTAAATTTTTTGTTTTGATCTTTTAAAATTCTGAGTTATTTAAAACTCCCTCTGTTTTGTTCTTAGAAACTTACCTAGTGTGTTTGTGTCTCCCTTCTCTCATGCTAGGAGTGGATGCCACTCTGGTTCTTGCCTCTGGGCAGTCACAGTGAAGAACACCCTCCTCCTCAGCAAGGATTGGCTTGGTTGATTCCGTTATGGGTTGATCGAGACCCAGAGGTCAGCGCAAAGGAAAATCAAGTCCATTATGTGTAGATTAAAAAACACATGAAACAAAACATATATACATACTCATATTTTCCAAAATGGGGTTATTTTAGTGACTATACTTTAAGTTTTATTTACCCCATCTTAGTCAGCTTGGGCTGCCATAACAAAATACCATAAACTGGATAACTTGAACAACAGAAATTTATTTTTTCACAGTTCTGGAGGCTGGAGATAAGGTATCAGTATGTTTGGGTTCTGATGAGAACTCTCTTTCTGGCTTTCAGACCACTGCCTTCTCACTGTGTTCTCATGTGCTCTTTGTCTTCTCATAATGCCACCAATCCTGTGGAATTAGGACCCCACCCTATCACCTCATTTAACCTTAACTACCTCTTAAAAGCCCTGTCCTCAAATACAGTCACATTGGGGGTTAGAACTTCCACATAGGAATGTTGAGGGGGCAGAATTCAGTTCGTAGCACCCCATCTTCAGTCAGACTCATTAGAGTACAGATTAAAAATAGAAAAAAGAAAGAAAGGATTATGGAATCTATCACTTTAGAAAGAACTGTGAAAAATTATTGAAGAAGCCCAGCCATTTTCAAACAGTGTAGAAGGATAGCTGCTGAGTGAGATTTGGGTGTCATTTAGTAGCATAGTACTTGTTACAGTGCAAAGTTTTATATTATTAATGAATTTTCCAGTTTTAGCCATTTGTCCACTAATTTCTTTTTTTTTAAATCACTTTACTGAGATATGATTGACATACAAAAAGCTGTACATATTTAATGTGTGCAGCTTCATGAGTTTGAAGATAAGTATACACCTGTGAAACCATCACCACAATCAATGCCATCAATGTGTAATTCACCTCCAAAAGCTTCCTCCTGCCTTCTTCTTTACTATTAAATTTTTTATTTGTTTGTCTGATTGTTTATTTATTTACTTTTGTGATTAGAGCACAACATAAGATTTACCTTCTTAGCAAATTTTTAAGTATATAATATGGTACCGTTAACTGTAGGCACTGCCCACTAATTTCAAGCAAGAAATGATTACATCCTCTTATAGTAAAAACCTTGATTTGTAGAAATGCTGTTTGATCTGAACTTAGAGGTTACATTCTTTAGACACATCGAACTTGGACTTGTTGCTTGACTATGTTATGACTATGTTATTTTTTGTTACTCTGAGCTGTCAGTGAAACACTATTTTGGAATCAGAATTCAGAAGTTCACCAAGACGTGTAGCTTGAGCAGCAGTGGTACTACAGCATACGTATCACACCACATCAATCTTATTTGAAACGTGTTTCTTTTAAAATAATTTTGGGGAAGATACTAAATGCCTTATAAATAAAGATAATTCGGTTACTTCTTTTTGAAAAGAAGTTTCAGAAAAGTTAAAACCATTTACTTGGAAGAAACACTAAAAAATTGAGGAAGGTAGAACAAAATGATAGGCACCTTCTTTAAAAGTAAGGACTAAACAAGAATTGTATTCAAAGAAGATACGTAAATGCCCTATGCTTTCCCTAGAAAAGGCTTTTGAACTATAATTTTTATTCTTATTTATACCTGGTTTTGACTTTGTGACATTTGCTTTTATTTAACTTTCATTTTCTATATTATGCTTTCTAGAATCGTGGAATAGGAGTTTTATTCATTTATAAACTTAAGGACACTGTTTTCTATAAGTGTGTTTTTTAATTTAGGATCATCAAGACAATGTCATAAAAGTATGATATTTTATGTACCAGAAAAATTAAGAATTCACATTAAGAATCTGAATTCTTTGATTTGACAACTTTTTCTTTAATTTGAACAGGTGAGGTTCACTTCACTGGGATTAGGATCAGCACTGACCACCCTTGAAACTGGCTGTGTGGCCTTGGCAAGCAGTTGTCAAAACATTTCTGGTGGGCTCTGGGGAACTGTGGTGAACATTCTTCTGGACCAGTCGGAATGCAGTATGGTGCGCCGGGAGGTATGCCTGTCTGGTTAGCACCCTCTGCCTTTTTTCCCCTTAGAAATCTGTTGTGATAGTCCTTATAAACCGTACCTGACTACCCATTCAACACAGTGACTGACCGCTGACCATTATCTGTTCTGCCTGTGAAAAACCCAAATAAAATGGTAGTAAAGAAGGAAAAAGATATTAATTCACGGTAAAAATTGGAGTCCTTTATTCTAAGATCAAAGCAGAATTCAGTGTATTTTAATATGAACTTCTCTATTTTATTACACATTGAAAAGTAATTCAAAGGAAAAAATTACTTTTATATTACCTCAGTATTTATGGGTCTCTAATGTTTATAAAGCTTAAGTTAAGGGGCTGTCAAAATACTTTGTAGTATTTATCATATAACATATAAGAGGAAAAGCAAACCCTATTTCAATTCTTTCTAGAGAGTTTGTGGTTTTCTTTCATTGCTGTTTTTATCAAAGTGATGATTGATGCAAATATTTTTAAAAACAGTAAAAAAATAGGGATTAGAGGCTTATAAAGAAAACAGCAGCTCCTGGGCCCACCATTAACCAGTTTCCAGTTCCAAAATCCAAAGGCTGTAGTTTTCTTGTTACTTGTTTTTTAATAGTAATGCTTCAACTTGTAGCTTCCTCTTGATTTACCAACTTCAAAGATTATCCATTGACTTCCAGTTAAGAAGGGTTGAAAATTTCACCCTCTTCGGATCCCCTCTGTTACCCCTCCCGTTATATCATAATCTTTCATTCAAATAGATAATCAGTATTCATATTAGTGTGATTCTTTAATTTGACCATCTTCAAGATCTAGGAGGTTAAGTTGGACGTTTGTAGTTTGTATTTCTAGTTAGCAATTTTTTATTGAGAGTAGCTTGTATAAGAGAAGGGAGCGAGACGTGGGGGGGGGTGTGTGTGTGTGTGCGAGAGAGAGAGAGAGAAGAGAGAGAGAGATCAAGTGTGTGTGTAATCTGTAAGGGGTAATAGAAACACGAAAGTATATTTCTTAAATACTATCAGAATAGATTTTACAGATGAGTTTTTGAAACAACAAAATTCTGAAGTAGGAAAAAATATATTTCCTGATGAAGTCATTTTATCAGTGTTAGGTCATCACCTAACAAGCACTGTCATTTGGCAGTTCTCATGATGACCTCCCAGCATGCGCAGTTGACCAGTGACGTGGTTTTTGTTATTAAATTATGATACGTTGGTTATTTCAGGGATGACAACAAGATGGCAGTATTGACTTTTTTTTTTTTAAATTTCAGGCCGCATTTATTCTTCAGAATCTCCTTGTAATTCCAATGCCTTCAGAAATTATAAAGGATTATACTTGGCAGGTCAGTGACTTTAAATAATTATCAACCTACTAGATATTAGAGATTAATTGACGATAAAGTTTCAGCATATATATATTTCAGTAATGGTGAAATTTTATACAAGGATCTCTTACAAGAGAATGTAGAAATTTTCCTTTGCTTGATTAGATTCATGAACTCTTCTCCATAGTGTTAAAAATAATTTTAAACAGAAATAATAATAGCTAACATGGTGTTTACTATGTACTAGGCACTCTTCTAGGAGCTTAACAAATATTAACTTGTGTAATTGTTTGAGTTGTGAGCCATTATTACCCTCATTTTGTTGATTAAGAAACTGTAGCAGAGAAGTTTAAATAGTTTGCCTTAAATCACACACCTTTGCTTTGAGTCCAGGCAGTCTTTCTCTTATCAGCTCACTATGCTGCCTCTCTAATTTAATAATAATAAATATAACAAATATAATAATAACTACATACGAATTCATTTATAGTTAAATATACATTGCTGTTAACATCCTTTTTCCTTTTCTGGGTTAGTGCACAGTTAGGGTCGTAATTTATCTTTCTTTGGTTTCTACTGAATAATTTTTTGTTTTGTGTTCTGAATATCAAGTCAGTAAATAGTTGCCTAACTTTTTTGTGGCTTTTTAGATGATTTGGAGGATACAGAACTGCTCTCACTGGGGCGATAAGATTCGCTTTCTCTACCCTATTACCTATGCACATGTCCTCATCCTATATATGTATATTTATGACACTGTTGCATCTTACTCCCCAGGATCCTAGACAAATCTAAGGTTTCTTTTTAGGTTTTCTTTAGAATATATCCTTGGAGGAGTTAGAGAATCGATTTGAGCTGCAGTGAGGGCAGGTTTCCAGGCAGTCTCCTGAAGTGTAAATTCAGGGGGTTGTCAAGGCCCAGATCTAGTTTAACTCTTGGAAGGTTCACTTCTCCAAACTTGACAAACCCAGGTAAACTGCCAATTATTAAGAATCTCAGGCCTCTTTTCCACTGGTTCCTCTAACTTGGTTAACACTGCCATCTGATGATGATTGCTTATTCATAGTCTGTGTTGTAATAAAACCATTCGGGACAAAACTGGAAGGAATACATGGGATTAATGTTTATATTAACAGTGTAGTAGTTTTGATGCCTGTTATCCAATAACTAGATTTTAGAATGTGTTGTTTTGGGCTCAAATGCAAATCATCTCTACTCCCATTGTTAAACTAGTGACACTTGTGTACTCTAAGCTTGATGTACTGCCAATGAATTTTTAATTATTGAAATAAATATAAAGGCAAGAGTAATAAGATTTCTGGGCTCTATTAAAGCCTTTGGGACATTATATTACAGTATAGAACCATGCATAGAAGTTCACATTTTTCTCTTACAAGTTAAATACAGTCATGTGCTGCATAACAATGTTTCAGTCAATAAGATGAGTACCATATAGTCTAGGTGTGTAGTAGGCTGTACCATCTAGATTTGTGTAAGTACACTTTGTGATGTTTGCACAATGACAAGATCGCCTAACAGCACATTTCTCAGAATGTATCCCTGTCATTAAGCAATGCATGACTGTAGTGGACAGCTCCTTTTTGTTGCTGGTGACATGCTTACTGCAGCTGGTTGGTGGTGTTATTCTCCAGTTCTTCATTGCAGAATTAATTTTCTACTAAAAAGTTGAAAATAGTGGTTTAAGCGAGCTTTTGGAGTCTTTTGCCCTGCCTACACTGATCAGAAACAAAAAAACTTGAGAGCTGCTCTTATCCCAAACAGCACTTGAGGATGAAACTTTTGCTAGTCTTAGGCAAAATTACAAAGATAAGGACAGTCTTGTGTGTTTTCAATAAATCCAGATTTTCTTCCTCTTTTTTTGATCTATTTTTGGTTATTTTTCTTTTTGATTTAAGTTTCCTCACTTAGCAATATAAATAGTTGGTTACCTAGTATTTGTCCCTCAATTTTAAAAAAGTTTAGTGGTACTTTACATCCCAAAATGGAAACAGCTGCTCTAAGAAGGGAGAAAGTCTTCAAATATAGATAATGGACTTGCATAATCTCCAAGAAGTTGTGACCTTTGCCAGTTTATTATAGCCAGAAAGAAGGTGTTATATATCCAGTATTCTAGAATTAAAACTGTCTTTGGTAGAATGATGAATAACAATCTTATTCAACCAAACACTTCATGTACTTATGTTGGTGTACATTTCACAGTGTTTTGGAGGATAGAGCAGGAAGTAGCACCAGTATCTGGGAGCTTTGTGAACATTTTATTTTGAGTGAGGTAGGTATTTGATTCATTATGTTTTACCAAGAGGATTGCTTTTACTACTTTGCACTTTGATGCCTGAAGCTAAACTGATGCACTGTACTCCTGTTCCACTGGGCATTCTGAGTGTTCTCTTTACGATTACTGCCCCTTTCCAAAGTCTTCCCCCCCACACACACAGCGTAAGTTCCCATTTCACGTGACTGTCTGGAATTGTTTAACGTCTGAGTGGTAATAATTTGTGTATATAAATTATGAGTTATGTAACTGGCTGTGTTTCCTTTTATTGTTGAGTGCTAGAAAGTTTTAGAGCCCTCCTACACATGTGGCTCTTGTGCTATACTATACGTTTTTTAGCTTTATTCCTCAGTCCAGTATCTTCATACCTTTGTTTTTCTTTCATCCCTGCTATACTTTTACTGTCATATTATAATTTACCTTTCCTTGTAATAGGCCTTAAATATTTTCTGGAACAAAGTGAGACATAAATCATCTAAAACGTATTTTTTTAATTTGAAAAAGTATTTATTAAAATATACTTTCACTAACCACTACAATCCGTTTTAATCTTCCTCTTTTCTGAAAAACAATAGCATTTAATGTCTATACCATTAAATTGGCTGTTTTTCATATATCACCTTTATTGTCTTGTCTTATTTCTTACCATTTAACTTAATCTTCCTAAATAGAATATATATTTCAGGACCATATTTTTAACATATTTTTAAATGTGTTTTCCAGTCCCCACCACAGAGAAGATAGTGCTCCATCAGTCTTTGCTAATGCACAAAAATGTGCAAAGCATTCCATTTACCCCATTAGTATTAATGGTATTGCTGAGTAAATAAAGTTAAAAATCAGGTCTTAACTTTTGTAGCTGAAGGCCCCATTTATTTTTCCATGGATACAGAAACGTATTGAAAGGGGGTGGTCACAGAGAATAGGAGCAGATAGAGAGCCTGTCTTGGCACAGCTTCCCTTGGCACCCAGCCTCCCTGAGAGGGGCCTGAAGACTGGGCTCCTGCTGCGTGGGAACCCAGTCCTCGATGCGTCAGCCCTGGGTGTGCCACATATCTTTTCTACTTAGGACACTGTTTTAAGGGCGGTGTTTATAAATACTGGGCTTTCCTTGTCCAAGGCTACATCCCTCTCTTAGGGAGAGAAAACAGAATCAGGTCTAAGGGCCCTTAAACTGTGTCATGGCTTTCAGCTTTCCAGGGTCTTGTAAACTGGTTTCCCACAGGCCGACTGAGATTTGGTACTCCTGCATGTGGAAGGTTCTGTTGCTGGATTTAGTTTGAGGACTGGTCACAAATCCATACCCCTCCAACTTTAACAACGAGAACAGAATTTTAGAGTTGATTATAACAAGAAATCTGTTCGTTAGACAGGGATTATCTATGTAGTTTGTTTCAGTTCATTTCTATAAGTGTTTGTTGAGTACCTGAATGTTGGGGATTCACGGGTGATCAGATTTAATCCTTTGCAGCATAGGGCTTGTGGAGAAGAAGACAAACACATACCCAGCGAACAGTACTACAGTGTTTTATGTATGATGGTGGTAGCTTATGTGTAATTTTTGTAATGTGAAAGTTGTTCTTTCCATTTGAAAATGATATGACACATTTAAATGTAAAGGTTATTTCACATGCTTAAATAATAGAGTGAGTTGTCAGTTTGTTGTGTAAATATACATGTTCATGCTTTAGTTCCTTTCCATATTTGTGATAGGACTTTGAATTGGCACATAATTTTATTTTTTTAAAAAACTTTTTATTTTGAAAAAAATTTAGACTTATAGAAAAGTTGCAGAAACAGTACAACAGTTTTTATAATCCCTTCACCCAGATTTCCCCCAATGTTATAATTTTACCAAATTTGCTTTAGCTCTGTGTAGTATCTTTTTTCTGAACTGTTTAAGACTTGCAGACATAATGCTTCTTTTTCCCTAAGCTCTTAAGTATGAATTTCCTAAAAACAAGGACGTTCTCTTACATAATCATAATAATAATTATCAAAATAGAGAAATTATTCAAATTTTTCCAGTTGTCCCGCTACTGCCTTTTATAGAAAAGAAAACAACTAATTAGGATCTAGGCTCTAATTCAGGAATACATGTTACATATAGTTGTCATGTCTATTTAGTTTTTTTTTTTAATCTAATATAGTTCTTTTTTTTTTTTATTATTTTTTTTTATTTTTTTCCCCAAAGCCCCAGTAGATAGTGGTATGTCATAGTTGCACATCCTTCTGGTTGCTGTATGTGGGACGCGGCCTCAGCATGGCCAGAGAAGCGGTGCATCGGTGCACGCCCGGGATCCGAACCCAGGCCGCCAGTAGTGGAGCGCGAGCACTTAACCACTAAGCCATGGAGCCGGCCCATCTAATATAGTTCTTAAATCTTTAAGAGTTTAGCATTTTTGAAGAGTGCAGGCTATTTAGTTTTTGTAATGTTCTTTAATTAGGTTTGTCTTTTTCCTCATGATTACATTGAGGTTATGCATTTTTAGCAGAAAAACCATAGAAATGATGTGTTCTTCTTGGTGTATTATGTCAGGAAACATGGTAAGTCTTTGTCCTATTATTGGTGATGTTTACTTTGCTTACTTTGTTAAGGTAGAGTCTGCCTGTTTTCTCCATTGTAGAGTTACAGTTTTTTCTTTTGCAGGCAGATACTTTGAGACTGTGCAAATATCTGTTTCTCATCAACATTCTTTCACTAGTTTTTTTTTTTTTATAATTT